ATTGGTTTTATGACATATGGTTGATTTCAAAATGATCTTTAGATGTGTTTCATCAAAGACGTTTGTTTTACACATATGAGTTGCATTATGTTGTGGGAGTCGGTGTGGGCTCGGGATAGCATGCATGAGTGAGTTTCATCTCATTACTTGGCATGACATCATGAGATTGTATCTTGAATAACATATTCTTATTTGGAAGAAGTTGTTTGTGGCATGTGCGCATTGCATACGTATTTTAGATAGGGAGTAGCCTCTGTAGGAGTTTTTCTACTGAGCGTTGGCTCACCCTATATGGGAAACATTTCAGGTGGGAGAGGTACACCGGTGGATGGCTCCAATTTGGACCCTCATGTTTGAAGAAAGCCGAATGTGGCTTTATTTTGTGTTGATGTAAAATATTTTGTGGAAGGAATGTTTTAAGCATGTAATGTTTTAAATTGTAATAGAACTTATATGGACTATTATTAAACTAACCTTGTATGTTTTCATATAAATATGGATGATTGGACCCAGTGTGGTCAAGTTTTACTTATAAATGGACCATGTGTGGTCATTGTGTTATATGGGGCCTCAGACGGGTCATGTTAATGTATATTACATAAGTTGTANAAAAGTGTAACGGCGTACGGAGCCGAAGGTGCGATTCCTGAATCCGATACCCATAAAAGCACATGATTTTGATATATAAACTATTCATTTGATGANTCAAGAGGGATTCCCTATTGGGTATGTGAAATCGACTCTCTTCCATTCTTCATCGTAGTGTAATGTGTTTGGTTTAACTAGGTTGAGTGCGGATGTGGTTGTGAGATTTTGATACACCATAGACTTGTCACGGGGTATGCTCTTGTCCAACATAACTACATTTGTGAAACCCGGGAAAAATTTGAACTTTTTCTGATAAAAGGCAAAATGGTAATTTATCACTGTTATGCGAGATTAAAATCAATATTTTTCTAGAGCTCAAATGAAGCAACGGATCTCACCGTTGGATTCGCATCGCGAAACCGAGTTGTCCTGTCAATTTTTGTCGAATTCTGAGATAGTCGAGTTTTTTATGTTTTTCGAGGCGACGGGAGTCCGGTGACCCCCAAAAACGAAATTTTTATAAAAAATTTATAATCTGAAAAAATATTTTAAATAAAGTTCATATAAAATATTTTTAGCTTAAATCAGTACAAAATTTAATCGTTTCGGGGCGAAAACGAATCCGGACAAAGGAGGACACTTGCCGCGACGAGGGCCAAGTCTTTAATAAGTATAAAAGTGGGCAAATATCTGAAAAATCAGATGTTTTCTCTTCATTTGGCCGGCTGGATCAGACCCAAGAGCAAAGAGGACAAAAATAAATTCTTCAAGCTTTCTTCTGTTGGTCAGAATCCGTCAGACCAAGAACTAAAGTCGATCTACGCGACGAGGGCTACGCGTGGGTACCAAAAATGAAGACTTTCACCAAAGATTCAAAGGCAAAGTCTTGGTGGATCAAAACTTTGGGGCTTGTTTTGATGGAATAGAAGTCTCTACACTTCTATTAAGGTAGGGGTTCTCCTATTTGGGTCTATTCTTAGCCTAGAATGTCTATGTGGGATGGTTGAATATATGTGCTTATATGTATATTGACTCATTTATGTATATGGCTAAGGAAATGGGTGTGAAATTGGGCCTATATAAATTCCTAGTAAAAATTGGCAAATGAATTTACTTATGTGATTCCTTGGGATTTTGATGTGTTTGGGTATGTTATGTGCTCAAATGTGATTTATAAAGATGTGAGCAATATTATGTGATAACAAGAAAAGTCGATACACTTTTTTGCTTCGGACCAGTTGTTGTATAATGGTCATAACTTTGGATCCAACCGTTGGATTGAGCTGAAATTTGACACGATACAGAAGACATCTAGATCTACAACTTTTGTGTTTTGAACTTTTCTAGATTCTGGGTAGATCATGGTAAAAATGGAGAAACACAGAGGTACTTCCACTAGCGGGAGCTAGTGCTGGTGCCTTTGTTATCAAACACAAATACCTCTTTGATTTCTTAACTTCTAAGCCTCCAAATCCTCATGTAATGTGGTCATACCTTCACCACACATCCAAGATAGTTGCAAGGTTCTAAAATACTTGAATTATGTGATTACATGATTGGTGCCTTGAAGGTGTTTGTTGTGTTTGATAAAATAGCATGCTTGGAAAATGTGGTAAAGTGAAATTACATGCTTATGATGTGATTTACAATTGTAATGTTATGTTGATGTATGCTTAACGATATGTTAGTATTATGATGATCATGAAATTTATATGTTTGGATATATTGAACTTGAAATGGTTATGGTGATTATATGTAAATGATATAAATTACCATGATATACATTGATATGTAAAAATTGTTCATTTGACATGCATTGTAATATGGACATGGAATTGACATCACATTCATGGGCTACATGCCTGAGTGTGGGTGTAGGGTTGCATGGGGTGATTAACACCAATATTGGTGCTTGATGGTAGGTTCGGGAAAGTGGGATGAAATGTCCTACGGAGTCGCACGGTTACATGCATAAGAAAACTTGTGTCGGGTATAGCAAGTAGGGCTAGATACTCCCTTGGGTGAAAAATTCGGTCACTTGGTTCATACACTTACCGGCGGTGAAATTTCAAAAAAGTGTAACGGCGTACGGAGCCGAAGGTGCGATTCCTGAATCCGATACCCATAAAAGCACATGATTTTGATATATAAACTATTCATTTGATGAGAAACATTCAAGAATGAATTGGTTTTATGACATATGGTTGATTTCAAAATGATCTTTAGATGTGTTTCATCAAAGACGTTTGTTTTACACATATGAGTTGCATTATGTTGTGGGAGTCGGTGTGGGCTCGGGATAGCATGCATGAGTGAGTTTCATCTCATTACTTGGCATGACATCATGAGATTGTATCTTGAATAACATATTCTTATTTGGAAGAAGTTGTTTGTGGCATGTGCGCATTGCATACGTATTTTAGATAGGGAGTAGCCTCTGTAGGAGTTTTTCTACTGAGCGTTGGCTCACCCTATATGGGAAACATTTCAGGTGGGAGAGGTACACCGGTGGATGGCTCCAATTTGGACCCTCATGTTTGAAGAAAGCCGAATGTGGCTTTATTTTGTGTTGATGTAAAATATTTTGTGGAAGGAATGTTTTAAGCATGTAATGTTTTAAATTGTAATAGAACTTATATGGACTATTATTAAACTAACCTTGTATGTTTTCATATAAATATGGATGATTGGACCCAGTGTGGTCAAGTTTTACTTATAAATGGACCATGTGTGGTCATTGTGTTATATGGGGCCTCAGACGGGTCATGTTAATGTATATTACATAAGTTGTATTTTGGGTAGAGCTTCCCGTACAAAGGAGACTCTGCCCGAATTTTGTTAAATTAAGGATTTCGGTAAATGGGTCATAACGGTGTGATATCAAGTTATTCGGTATCCACGGGTGGGTAATTAACGGACCCCTGGATTTTGGGGCGTCACAACATTAGTCCTTCGCTTCCTACGAATCAATTAAACTCTAAGACACCATTGGTTGAATGAAATGAGTCGATTTGACGTTCTCATTGGAATGACCTCTATGGGTTAGTCAACCTTGTTTTCTTGCATATTTCTCAATTCATAACCCACCAAATTTCAAATCACAAGATTTTTCAATTTTTATTTTTTCACAAATCACTATTCAAGAGCATCTGACCTCGCCTTCCTTGGGAAGACGACCTTAGAATACTTATTCCAAGTAAAACACGATATTGCAAGACTCTCTACGCTTGAGGAGCAATTTTGCACACATACATTTTTTGTTCATCCTTACACAATTTTCCCCAATTCTTGCATTGAACTTGAGGGAGAGTGACACTCACCACACACTATAAACCATATACACAAACAAGAAGTTTGCGAAAACAAGCAAGCACACCACAAAGAAGAGGAATTTGACCTTCAACTTACTTTAAAGAAAATTGTTCTTGTATGTATGGATGTTGTATGTTGCTCAAGACACTGCAATTGGGTGATTGTCGCTGTGGATTTGTGTTCAGTTTCATGGTCATTATTTGCTTCCTTCTCCTTGATCCATGTCATAACCCAGTCATTTTGCCTTACAAACTCCACCAATCTAAGATGTGTCTTCAAAAAATGATTGAAGTATGAGTTCATACTCTCACAATGTTTTGTTCTTTTATGCTTGGAAAGAATTTACCCTTCAAATATGCCTCCACCCATTTTGATTGTTTCGAATAAACTTCTACTATCCAATTATTATTCTCCAATCCAGATGAATCCACTAAGGCTTTCCATAGATTCTCAAATTCTTTTGAACATCACCAGTACGCATACAATATTTAAATTTTTTTACAAAATTTTCAACATTCATATTTGAAGAACAACTTCCGCACAATAGAGTTTTAGCGAAAGTTGGTCAGCGGTGGCATCAAAGCCTTGCTCACTCTTCAAGGTTTCAACAAAAAAAGCAATTTGATTCAGTACAGCTCAAGGTTGTATAGTCATGGTGAAGTGTACTAATGTTACTCTTGTGAATATTGAGCATCTTTGAGATGATAAAATGCTCAACCAGCACTGCAGACTTTGATTTTTCATCATTGGTGTTCTTGTACTCCCTCTTTTGGGGTTCTCTAGATTATTGAATGAATGTTGATTAGATTTTAAGCCCCATTTCCAGTTTCCTACTAGTTTTTGCTTCCTAATTCCATCTATTGTTTCTCTGACATTTCCTACTCTTATTTGGCAACTTAATGCTATAAACCTTACTAGTTGATGCTTATTTCACGACAGTATTTCTGCTACCCCCTTTTGCTCAGCATTTGAATGCTGAACTTCTGGTTAGATTCGAATGAATGGTATAATACCAACTTGACAGTAGAGAAAAACTAAGTTTTGTTGATGGCCTAGTTTCTCTACCCCTTAATGAAAAAATGATATAGCAAGGAAAAAACCCCATTATTTATAAAGCTTCTTCATTTTCATCAAGTAAACATATATGTGAGAAAGTGGACTTGTACCCAAAGAAACTAGGAAAAAAGTTGTACATCTGGCTGTAGAAAACATAATTTATCTCCTGCCATCGTCCATGTGACAGTGCTCGCTTTGCATGAGCATATCTCCCCTGTCAGTTGAGTCAGCATGTTACTGGCCCATTTTTCCTAACTTCTTCCCCTTACAAGGCGGTAAAGGTTTCCCGCATAAGCAGAGATTGTGGGCATAAGCAGCTGCAGGGAAGATATTAAATGGCCTTCCTTGTGGGATCTCTCCACATAATCTGTTTGCCCTGAAGTTTGCATGCCTTAAATTTTCTATACTTAGCAGGCTATCTGGGATTTTTCCTGTGAGTCCATTGATGGATAAGTCTAACCATTGCAACTTCAGCAATAATCCTAAACTTGTAGGAATTGTGCCTGTTATTTGGTTCCTTGAAATGTCTAGCATTTGGAGTTCAACCAGGTTTGAGATTGAACTTGGGATGTGACCAGCAATCCTGTTATTCACTATCTTGAGCATTTTCAAGCTCAAGCCTTCATTGAACTCAGGTATGCTACCTGAAATTTGATTGTTAGACACATCAATAGCCTCCAAGAACTTGCTTGTTTTATTGTTCAAAACACTTGAGAGCGACCCATAAAGATGATTTGAATGGACATCAAGGGACGATAAGCCAACTGGCAATATGATTTCTGAAAGATCAGACTTGAGCTGGTTGTTTGAAAGCTTGATTTTTTGCAAGCTAGACATCTTTATGAAGAACTTTGAAATACCATTCGTGAAATAGTTGTCAGAGAGGTCTATGGATGTCAAGGAATCAGGCTTCGTGAAGTTTGGGAGGGTTCCTCTAAGATTGCAGCCAGCTAAATGGACCTCGGAAAGTTCTCTGCTTCTGATCCATTCAGGAACTATCCCCAAATTCAGCCTATTGTAAGACAAGTCTATGGATAACAGAGAGGGGATGCCATTGCTTGGCAAAAGATCTGAAAGCCCATTTCGAGATAAATTAAGGTGCCAAAGGTTCTGCAGTCGTGAAAGGGATTCTGGAATTTGACCTGTAAGCTTGTTAGAACTAAGTGAGAGACTGGTCAGAGACTTTAGGTTACCGACTAGGACTGGGATTCTTCCTGTGAGCAGATTATGGCTCAGTGACATGTCTGCAAGATTGGCCAAATTGAACAAGGAATTGGGTAACTGACCTGATAATCGGTTATTGGAAAGGTCAAGAAATGTCAGGTTTTTGAACTGCCCTAAAAATTCAGGAACAAACCCTGAAATTAAATTGTAGCTGAGATCAATATACTGCAGGCTGAGGAAGTTCTTGAAGGTGGATGGTACAGGACCAGTAAGGGAGTTTCTTGCTAAATTTAGTTGGAGAAGATTTCTGAAATTTCCTATGCTAAAAGGTATCTGCCCAGTCAAATGGTTCCCACTCACTGAGAAGGTTTTGAGTAAGGGCAAATGACCTAGACTTAGAGGAATGTTCCCATCGAGAGAGTTGTCCTCTAGCACAAGTTGGGCGAGGTGGGTTAGATTTGAGAAAGTCTGAGGAATTGTTCCTGTAATACGTTTCATCCCACTTATCACCATTATCTCCAAGAAATGCAAATTACCCAGAGAAGGTGACAGGGTGCCTTTCATGTAAATGCCATTTTCGCTATCGGAGGGCCTCTGCAACACTAACCCAGTAACCCTCCCTGTGGCTTCGTTACACTGAACACCTTCCCAACCTCCTCCGCAGCAATCTCTACCCGTCCATGAAGAGAGAATGTCAGTTGTATCCTTCAGTATTCTGGCTTTGAAACCAAGAAGAGCAACTCGATCAGCATCTGAGCAAAGTATAGGAGCTTTTGACTCTTCTTGGGCTAGGGCTCTTGAAGACAGATCAAGGAATGACAGATCAAGGAATGGAAGAATGATAAAAAGCCTGAAAACCCACGTCAGACTCTGCATTTTGGGAAATGGGTTTCGATCTTGATTCGAAAGATTGCTGAAAAATATATCAGGATTTTGAAGTGAAGTTGGAATCTGACAGAGAACTCAGTCAGACTGGGAATAATAAAATAGATCTATTTTGTTACATAAAAATAAGGGAAGTTCTACAATGGAAACGGGGGTTTATTCTTTCACGTAGACCAGAAGGCATAATGATGAAAAAGAAAGAAGAAAAATCTAAGAGTGACTGAGAAGGACAATGATATGGTCCGAAGATCTGAACAATGTGTAGTTTATAGAGCCCAGGAAAAATTGAATTTCTTTTGGGGGATGAATTTTATTGAGTTCACATGGAAATTTGTGACCGTTTGATGGATCACGAGGATTCTATATACCACTCGAACGTTGGAGCGCACCACATTCAAAATTCTCTGCCACTTTTTTAAAAATCAATCTCATTTCTTTTGGCCCACGGCTTCATGGTACCATGATTTCTTTAGGTGTGGTTCCACTATTTACACACGGGAAATATGTCCGCATTGGTGGATGTATCGCAGCAGGTGCTTAGGAGGGCACTATGGTATTTGTATCATACCGAAATTTACTTTCAATGATTTTCTTTTCTCTTCGTGTATTTGTAGCTGCTAGTTGTAAAAATAATAAAATATAGAAACTTTGCATGTGTCTACTTATCATTGGTGGAAATTGGGAGGGATGATATCAAAAAATTTCTTTTCAATTTGGTATTTAGACCCTGGTATTTATGGTCAGCCGAGTAATTTGGCCTTTGAATCATTTTTCTAATAGTCTGTTGGGTACATTGGGTACGATGGCAAAAATATAATGAAGGAGAAATGAGAATGACGAAAAAGTAAGTAGATACATAAAAAGCAATGCTATTTTGATTTAAAATGCTCATGTGATGTTTTAACTTAATTAATTATTGTCATTAATTTAATTGTGAATCTTAATATTTATTTGGATTCATTACCTATTTAGTAATTGTGAATAATTAGATCAACAAATTAGATCATTATTTTAATTTCAATAGCACTTTCAAGCATAAAATATAAGTGAAAGTATTTATCTTTCTTTCAATTCAACAAAACTTATATGTATAAAATTGAGTAGAAAAGTGACAAAAAATTAGTTATGTATATTAAGTCCGTCCCGTGTGATACACGGGATTATAATTCATGTTTTTAAAATTTTTAATTTTCTTAGTTGAGAAGTTAAATAAATATTTATATAAAGTTTTTGGGTGATAAAAAGTAATTTTTTTAAAAAACATTTAAAATAATATTTAGTTATTAAAGAATTGGTGGGTAGGTTACCAATGACACATGTAAGCATTTGATTAGAGGGAGTCCTATACTTTGAATTAAAAAATTTTAAATTCTAAAAAAAAATGAAAGTGAGAGGGAAGGCTTTTCATGCCACCTCCCACCTAATTTAATTGTTATATATATATATTTATTACATATTATGAATTTGTTAATTTCGTGTATGAATATAATGGTATAATATGAACACATACTCCTTCTTTGGTAGACATAGAAAAATTAATTTATTCTCTTTCCATCTTTCTTACTAAAACCAAAGAGACGGAAAAGACTTATTTTCTTTGAGGTTTAAAAATGTTCTCTTACTATTTTTCATTATATTTGTTCAGCAATTCTATCAAATAGATTATAAATTTTTTTTTTTTAAAACTTCCAAGGGAGGAGTGTTGAAATTTGACCTCAGATAGAGACTGTTATAAAGATGTATTTTTTAATTGGATTCAACCTTTGTTGTTTTGAAACTACCCACTCAATTAGATTTCTATCAAAGATCATAAAGTAATTTTTTTTAAAAAAAAAAAATTCTAAGAGCGGAGTGGTTGAAATTTGGCCTCAAGTAGAGAATGTGATAAAGACGTGCTTTTTAATTGGATTCAATATTTGTTGTTTTGAAATTACTCACTTTATTAGATATCGCCAAAATGATAACATAGTTGTGAATTTGGCAACAATAGAAGCGACCTCCAATGCAATATGTCTATTTCTTTTGACCGGAAATTCCAAAGAAGACAAAAGCAACGTATCTTACAGCCTGTTTTCCAACTCACACTTCCAGGTCTTACCCCATCTAACTCATGAGTAACCGTTTGATTTGTTTTGTAATTGTTTTTTAGGTAATGTCAAATCACTTCGAAAAAGCTTTCTGGACTCATGGACTTGTGCAATTACTTACAAACAAAAAATATGCATCTGGACTCATGAGACTTTAGTGCAATTAGCTATAAATTACATGCATCAATTAAATATGAATTTTATTTAATCAGTAAAATTAAAACTCGACATTTATGGGTTCACGCGTTGCCTTTTATTCAATCATTGAATCAATTTGTGAGAGTTATAAGATATGTGATCGGATCAATTGTTACCTAATTGCGATTTTGTAATTTTTGAACCCAAATACCATACTAACTTTTTTCTCGTTGTTATTATGAAAGTAATCAAACTCATATTTTTTTAAGGTAAAAGCGTATTCACAAAACATACTTATAAATTTTTGTTTTTATTTTTATTAAAAGTTGGTTTTGCAAACACAACTTTGTATTAAAAGTGTAAGGGGCAAAAATCTCTTACCTTTAGTGTTTGATTTTATTTTGTTTAAAAATATGAATAGGGATCAAAAATTGATCCTGCAAAACAAGTAAACTATCAGAGACCGAGATAGGCTGGTCAGACGCAATCTGATGCCTAAGTCATTAATGGCTCTAAAAGAAAGCAAAATAATTTGCAGGAATTCTAGTGTGTGCCTTTGACTCAAGGCTTAACCTAGACTTTATAGGGTTGTATGGCAATTTATATGCCATGATTTTATTTCTTGGATCCATCTAGGTGGTACACCTAATGTTTAGCCGAATCCGTTTTGGATGCTTGGATCTCTCCTAAACTACTCTTCATTATGTTTGTTTCATAAAGGGTGTGATAAATACTCTCCAATGATTAAAGCAACGTCCCATGTAATTCGACATTGCATTACTTTCTTGCTTGTCGAAGGGTTTCATTAGGAGACTATCTTGGCGTTATGCTTGGTCACATTGTTGATTAGCTATTTTGACAACTTGGCCCAATGAACTTAGCACTATTCATTTGCTCGGTTTGATTATGATGGACATTGTTTCCCTCATGCATTTCTTGCACATGTTATTGGTCATGTGTCTCAAGACACGTGAGCTTATTAACAATCCCAATCATGCGCAATCATTTTGTACCCCTTCACTTGCTCCTTAGGGAATGTTTGCCATATGGCACACACCGTTTGACGTTTCTTGACTGTTCATCATATCCGCATTTCATAAGCTACTTGGTTTCTCGGGAAAAGGCATTGTACGTGTCTTTTTCCTTTGCAAGGCGCCTTGCTTCATTTAATATAATTACCCTTTTGTCTGTAGCGCCATTTCCCTTGGCTTCTTTTTTTTTAAAGGGTCCTCAATAACATNTTTTTTTTAAAAAAAAAAAATTCTAAGAGCGGAGTGGTTGAAATTTGGCCTCAAGTAGAGAATGTGATAAAGACGTGCTTTTTAATTGGATTCAATATTTGTTGTTTTGAAATTACTCACTTTATTAGATATCGCCAAAATGATAACATAGTTGTGAATTTGGCAACAATAGAAGCGACCTCCAATGCAATATGTCTATTTCTTTTGACCGGAAATTCCAAAGAAGACAAAAGCAACGTATCTTACAGCCTGTTTTCCAACTCACACTTCCAGGTCTTACCCCATCTAACTCATGAGTAACCGTTTGATTTGTTTTGTAATTGTTTTTTAGGTAATGTCAAATCACTTCGAAAAAGCTTTCTGGACTCATGGACTTGTGCAATTACTTACAAACAAAAAATATGCATCTGGACTCATGAGACTTTAGTGCAATTAGCTATAAATTACATGCATCAATTAAATATGAATTTTATTTAATCAGTAAAATTAAAACTCGACATTTATGGGTTCACGCGTTGCCTTTTATTCAATCATTGAATCAATTTGTGAGAGTTATAAGATATGTGATCGGATCAATTGTTACCTAATTGCGATTTTGTAATTTTTGAACCCAAATACCATACTAACTTTTTTCTCGTTGTTATTATGAAAGTAATCAAACTCATATTTTTTTAAGGTAAAAGCGTATTCACAAAACATACTTATAAATTTTTGTTTTTATTTTTATTAAAAGTTGGTTTTGCAAACACAACTTTGTATTAAAAGTGTAAGGGGCAAAAATCTCTTACCTTTAGTGTTTGATTTTATTTTGTTTAAAAATATGAATAGGGATCAAAAATTGATCCTGCAAAACAAGTAAACTATCAGAGACCGAGATAGGCTGGTCAGACGCAATCTGATGCCTAAGTCATTAATGGCTCTAAAAGAAAGCAAAATAATTTGCAGGAATTCTAGTGTGTGCCTTTGACTCAAGGCTTAACCTAGACTTTATAGGGTTGTATGGCAATTTATATGCCATGATTTTATTTCTTGGATCCATCTAGGTGGTACACCTAATGTTTAGCCGAATCCGTTTTGGATGCTTGGATCTCTCCTAAACTACTCTTCATTATGTTTGTTTCATAAAGGGTGTGATAAATACTCTCCAATGATTAAAGCAACGTCCCATGTAATTCGACATTGCATTACTTTCTTGCTTGTCGAAGGGTTTCATTAGGAGACTATCTTGGCGTTATGCTTGGTCACATTGTTGATTAGCTATTTTGACAACTTGGCCCAATGAACTTAGCACTATTCATTTGCTCGGTTTGATTATGATGGACATTGTTTCCCTCATGCATTTCTTGCACATGTTATTGGTCATGTGTCTCAAGACACGTGAGCTTATTAACAATCCCAATCATGCGCAATCATTTTGTACCCCTTCACTTGCTCCTTAGGGAATGTTTGCCATATGGCACACACCGTTTGACGTTTCTTGACTGTTCATCATATCCGCATTTCATAAGCTACTTGGTTTCTCGGGAAAAGGCATTGTACGTGTCTTTTTC